CAAGAGGCTCTAGGTATGGAATTGTAAAAGGAAAGTAGAACCCCCCTTTTTTTTCGCTTGGCATAACACATTCTCGAAAAATAAAATGCTCAGTAGGCACGCATTCGGTCACAATGAATATTGTATTAACACTACAGTGACCAGGGCCATCCCTATAATGAGGGTTTGGGTAACGTGGGGGGGAATGGCAGTGTGCCTGCCGCACCCTTTCCAGCCAGAGCGTCCCAGGTTGCTAAGAGCTCTTTGCAACTTGGGATGCTCTGGCCAGCGTCCCGCCCAGTTCCTGGCAACCGGTGACATCACTGGAGTTGAGCAGGACACTCTGGCTAGAATCCTGCCCTGATCATGGCAACCAGTGATGTCAGTAAGCTGGACGGACACTGACAAAAGCCAGAAGTAACGCGGACCACCTACACCAACACTTACGCCCCCCGGGTGACTGGCACCACCAGCATCCCACAGCACCACCCTTTCCCCCTGGAACTTGAGCCCCACAACCGCATCCCCCCAGCCTCGGGTGGCGAAAAGTCTAGGGAAACCCCTGGCAGTGACCATCATATCTAGCTCATAGCCAGACTGCAATGGTCAGAATGGGGCCCTAACTGATTTCAATATAGAAAATCAGGGGTGTAACTGTAGATTGCGGGGCCCCATAGCTAAATTTTGATGGGGTCCCTCGGCGACCTTCCTACTGTCAATGGCTTTAAAGTCAGGTAGCAGCTGTATGCACGGTCTCCTCCTGTACATCTGACGTCAGGGGGCATGGGGTCAGTGTCAACTGCAACTTCTGCAGTCCCTAACGGGGCCCCCTTCCACCACCAGGCCCCATAGCGGCCGCATTGGGCTGCTATGGCTATTGTTACGCCACTGTAGAAAATATAACCTGAGTAGCAGCTGCCGGAACTGTACAAAGAACAAAAATATTGCAATTTGCTCCTCTTTACTGTATAAGAAGGACTACTGGTCCGTTCTTCATCTTTATTCCCTTTAAGCCCTCTTTCCCAGTTCTCACGTGAGCCAGCGGTTGCTTGTCTTGCAGTAGTAGGAATTTCTGGCCCTGGTCTGTTGCAGAGTATTGTAGGACGAGGGAGAAATGGTCACGGTGACGGAGAGAGATACGGTCCTGAAGAGTTACCATGACATCCTGTAAATGAGAAGTAAGAGAATGAATTATGTGTACACACAAAGAGTCAAAAATAGTTCCATGTAAGTAATCGCACTGCATTGGTGGCAAAACAAGAAAACTAGAGGTGAAGGAGGAATAGGAGCGGCAAAAGGACGAACCGGTGAGGTGGTTAGGTGCAAATGATCTTCCTTCATTATGAATTATAAGCCAAGATGTGTGGGGGTGATAAATCCCTTTCTCTGAGGGCTCGGGTGACTTGGTTGACTTGGCACAGCTGATACAGCAAACATTCAGAGCGTGCCTACGTTTCTGTTAATGAAATCTTGATCTAGTAAAATATTAAGGGACAACATCTATGGTGATTCAGTGTGTCAGAGACCTGCTGCTTCTGCGCATGCGCCAAGCCGGGCTTCCCGTAACGGGCCTGCGCGAGCCAAGGATTGCCGGCGGAAAAACGCGCCAAAAGGCGCACAGGAAGTGACGCTCTCCAGATAATTTCTTCCCTATTTAAACCCAGACTCCACACCTACTCATTGCTGGATTGTCTCTTCAACCGCCCTGACGTCTCCTGATCCTTGTTTCCAGTACCCTTGATTATTGACCCGGATTGACTTTGACCTTGTTTGCCTGCAGCCTGCCTTTGACCTCGGAACGTTTTGACCATTCTTGCTTGCCTTGACCTCGGATTGCTTACTGGACTGCCTACGCCTTCTCCTTTTGTACCTGATCTGCCTGCGCGGTGTGACCTCGGCCTGTTGACCTCGGATATCAAGATCTACAAAACCCTGCTACAAAACCAGGGATTGGCCGGCACGGTGATCCCGCCTCTGGCCCTCCTGCCACTCACTGTCTCTAAGGACTCTGTCCCCAATACCAGAGTCCCTAGGACACGAGCTGCAAGGGAAGCCTCCTCCTACATCCAGTCTCCACACAGGTACGTGATACAGTGGCGGGTGGTGGAATCCACAAACAGGCACCAGGGAAGAGCTGGCAGGCTGCCTATGCTATTTATAGCAAAATGTTGGTGGATACCCGACCATCACACCTACCTATATGGCCAAAAGTATATTGACCCCTCTCAAAAAGATTGAGTTCAGGTGTTTTCAGTGAAGAGTCCTGTTAATACTACAACATACAAATATATTAGATTGTAAGCCCTCAGGGGCAGGGCCCTCCTTACCATCTTGTCTTGAATTGTATTGTAATTGTAATGTCTTCCTTATATTGTACAGCGCTGCGCACACTGTTGGCGCTATATAAATCCTGTATAATAATAATAATAGTTTAGACAATTGTGCTCTTCTAACCTTGTGGTAACAGTTTGGTGAAGATCCTTTTCTGTTCCACCACGACTGCCCGCTGAGACCTGCCAAGTGTGGTGTCCTGCACAGAGCCTTGACCTCAACCCTGCTGAGCATGACTGTCCCGTGTGTGCAAAGCCAGTTCTATGACGACATGGTTTGACCAGTATGGTGTGGAGGAACTCGTGTCCTGCACAGAGCCCTGACCTCAGCCCTACTGAGCATGACTGTCCCGTGTGTATAAAGCCAGTTCCATGAAGATATTGTTATGGTGTGGAGGAACTCAAGTGTCCTGCAAAGAGCCCTGACCTCAACCCTACTGAACATGACTGTCCCCTGTGTACATAGTCAGTTCCATGAAGACATGGTTATGTTGTGGAGGAACTCAAGTGTCCTGCAAAGAGCCCTGACCTCAACCCTACTGAACATGGCTGTACCCCTGTGTACATAGCCAACTCCATAAAGATATGGTTTGACCAATTTTGTGGAGGAACTCGGGTGCCCTGACCTCATCCTTACTGAACACCTTTGGAAAGAATTGGAATGTCGGTTTTGAGCCAGGTCTTCTCATCCAACATCAGTATCTGGCCCCACAAATACTCTTTTGACTGAAAAGGCACAAATTCCCACAAACACACTCCAAAACCATTTGGAAAGCCTTCCCAGAGGAGAGGAGGCTGCTCTAGCCATTAAAAGGACCAATTCCATATGAATGCCTCTGGTTATTGATTGTGATTACCAACAAGCTCATATAGGTGTGATGGTCAGGCATCTACAAATTGTTGGCCATGAAGTGCAGGACAGTTGTAGAAGCCATAGCTCCTGCTGTAGAATTCTTTGAGAGCTCTTTAGCACCCCACAAACAGTCCAGTGTTTTCCGCTGCCTCAATAATTAAAAGTGAAGCAGGACAGTGGCCATCTTGTGTGTACACCTCACCACTAATTCAAGGTGAACCCTACTGCTTTGAAGCTTTAACTTTGTAACAGATGAGTATAATGTGATGCTAGCACACTACATTTGGGTAGGATGGAACTATCTTGCCTTGACTGTTGTTCTCCCATCAAAAGTAAAGGACTTAATTTGACCATTCTCCAGAAATACTTTGAGAACATTCGGAATGAGGAGAAGGGGTGGGGAGTCCTTCATCTTCAACATGTCCTAGATAATACAAAAAGAAGAGTCATCAAACGGTGAGCTTAACAGAGGCAACACGCTTACCTGTATAGCCAAAGAAGAATGAAACCCCAATTTATTACAAAATATTTCTGTCTCATTAAGTGTTTTTGTGCTTTCAGATAGAACAAAGGATAGAAAAATATAATGAACCGTTCATTAGAAGACAAGAGGGTCTATGTATAAACAATTCACAGGACCCTTGACCATGAGATCATCTGTGAACGTTTATTTTGCCTGTATAATGACAAAAACGACCGTTCTTAATATATTACCTTTTCAGGTCAACTGTATTGTAATGCAATACTACCTTACGGCCACTAGATGGAGCTGAGGAGCATAGGAAAGAAATACTTATTCCCTATGCTCTTTAGCTCCATCTGGTGGACATAATGCAGTATTACACCACAATGCATTCAACCTGAAAAGAAAATACCGTATATTAAGAACGACCATTTTTGTCATTATTCACACAAAGCGAATGTTCACAGATGTTCTCAGGATGAAGAGCGAAGGGTATAAATAGACCCGTGAATGTCATCCGGCTAGTGTTTCCATCTGCTTTAATGCTTTCATTACTTACTGCGTCTGTATCACCAACAGTCACCAATTCAGAAAATCGGACCCTAGTTGGGTTGGAGCGAAGCTTCTCCTTCTTGGCTGCGCTGATGAATGCTGATTTTGGAGACTAAAAAGAGCACAAATAAAATGTATAAATTTATTGCAAATACAAAAATTTGCAAGAAAAATGCAAAATCGCAACATTTTTAGATACTAAATGTATCAACTAATAGGATTCTTACCATCAAAAAAATCTTCAATGGAAGTGGCTCTCCCAGTGTAATCATTGGGGCTCCATTGTCCATTTGACAGCCATTCCACTGCGCGCTCTGTATTGGGAGCCGTTGGCAGTGCTTCTGATCAGCGCAGGATCAACTGTCACACTGACAAAGGGGTCCCACTGATGGGGAGAGCCAATGTAATCGGCATTGCCGGGCTGTAAGTCTATAAGCCAAGTCCTTCAGAGAGCAGGAGGCAGCTGGCCTACACAAAGCCAGGAGAAGCTCTCGCCACAGTTGCCCCCACTTCTTTGCTGCCTCCGATTCAGCCCAGCCTTGGTCATGTGACTCTTACCCCTCCTTCCCTTGTGACAGAACTACTACTTGGTGATTGGCTGCTTAAGTGCGCAGTGATGTCAAAAGAGTCTTTAGCCCCATGTGAACTCCAAGTCACGACTTACACAGGCCATCCTCCCTTGGCACCCAATGGTCAAAGGGAGCAGGAAAGTGATGAGTAGGCTCTCACTGCACCTTTCCCTCTTCATTTGTGGCCTTCGTATTGGCCCAGACTTGATCATGTGACTCATACCCTTTCCTCCCATGTGACAGCACCAGTACTTGGTGATTGGCTGCTTTAGCCCTGTGTAAGCTCCAAGTCATGACCTACACAAGCCATCTTCCCTTGGCTCCCAATGGCCAAAGACAGCAGAAAAGTGAAAGGAAGAGTCTCTCGCTACAGTTGCCTTCCTTTGCTAACTCGCATTGGCCAAGCTTTGATCATGTCACTCAGACTTTTACCTCCCCTAGTACTTGGCGATTGGCTGCTTAGGTGCCCAGTGATATCAAAAGAGTATCTTTAGGGCTATGTGAGCTCCAAGTCATGACTTACACAGGCCATCCCCCCTTGGTATCCAATGGCCAAATGCAGAAGGAAAGTGATAGGAAGGGGCTCCCCCTGATGTTTTTAGTCAGCCACCTTTTGATTTCTCATGTTCTTACAAGAGCTTTCCAACATTATGATGACACCAATGGTATGCAGTATAAAAACCCAATCACTTACTTGATGAGGTTGTAGAACTGTCAGAGTGATGGACTCATTTGCATTCCTACAGCAACCAAAAAAAACAATAATGTATGCACCATTTTCCAATTTAAAGATTACAACATGTAGCTCATCAAAGGCAAACTATAAACTCTATAACAAAGAATGTAGCAAAAGTACCCCATAGGGTAAGGTTACCCTTAGTCCCAGTTTCTCGGGGACAGTCCCCATTTTGAGAGGTCTGTTCCCAGGAGACAAATGTCCCCGGCGGCATCCCCGGCAGCAGTGAACTACAGTCATATACAGTAAGTTTTGTACATGCTGTGATGGCTGCCTCTAGGACTCTGTGTCACTTACTACTGACCCCTGAACCCTGTGTTACTTACTACTGCCCCCTGAACCCTGCGTCACTTACAACTGACCCCTGAACCCTGTGTTACTTACTACTGCCCCCTGAACCCTGCGTCACTTACAACTGACCCCTGAACCCTGTGTTACTTACTACTGCCCCCTGAACCCTGCGTCACTTACAACTGACCCCTGAACCCTGTGTTACTTACTACTGCCCCCTGAACCCTGCGTCACTTACAACTGACCCCTGAACCCTGTGTTACTTACTACTGCCCCCTGAACCCTGCGTCACTTACAACTGACCCCTGAACCCTGTGTTACTTACTACTGCCCCCTGAACCCTGCGTCACTTACAACTGACCCCTGAACCCTGTGTTACTTACTACTGCCCCCTGAACCCTGCGTCACTTACAACTGACCCCTGAACCCTGTGTTACTTACTACTGCCCCCTGAACCCTGCGTCACTTACAACTGACCCCTGAACCCTGTGTTACTTACTACTGCCCCCTGAACCCTGCGTCACTTACAACTGACCCCTGAACCCTGTGTTACTTACTACTGCCCCCTGAACCCTGCGTCACTTACTACTGACCCCTGAACCCTGCGTCACTTACAACTGACCCCTGAACCCTGTGTTACTTACTACTGCCCCCTGAACCCTGCGTCACTTACTACTGACCCCTGAACCCTGTGTCACTTACTACTGATCCCTGAACCCTGCGTCACTTACTACGGATCCCTGAACTGTACATTATGTACTACTAATCCCTGAACTGTGTGTTACTTACTACTGACCCCTGAATCCTGCATTACTCACTACTGACCTCTGAACCCTGTGTCACTTACTACTGACCCCTGAACCCTACATTACGTACTACAAAACCCTGAACCCTGTGTTACTTACTACTGACCCCTGAACCCTGTGTTACTTACTACTGCCCCCTGAACCCTGCGTCACTTACTACTGACCCCTGAACCCTGTGTCACTTACAACTGACCCCTGAACCCTGTGTCACTACTGACCCCTGAACCCTGTGTCACTTACTACTGACCCCTGAACCCTGTGTCACTTACTACTGACCCCTGAACCCTGTGTCACTACTGACCCCTGAACCCTGTGTCACTTACTACTGACCCCTGAACCCTGTGTCACTTACTACTGACCCCTGAACCCTGTGTCACTACTGACCCCTGAACCCTGTGTCACTTACTACTGACCCCTGAACCCTGTGTCACTTACTACTGATCCCTGAACCCTGTGTCACTTACTACTGACCCCTGAACCCTGTGTCACTTACTACTGATCCCTGAACCCTGCGTCACTTACTACTGACCCCTGAGTCACTTACTACTGATCCCTGAACCCTGCGTCATTTACTACTGACCCCTGAACCCTGCGTCACTTACTACTGATCCCTGAACCCTGTGTCACTTACTACTGATCCCTGAACCCTGCGTCACTTACTACGGATCCCTGAACTGTACATTATGTACTACTAATCCCTGAACTGTGTGTTACTTACTACTGACCCCTGAATCCTGCATTACTCACTACTGACCTCTGAACCCTGTGTCACTTACTACTGACCCCTGAACCCTACATTACGTACTACAAAACCCTGAACCCTGTGTTACTTACTACTGACCCCTGAACCCTGTGTTACTTACTACTGACCCCTGAACCCTGTGTTACTTACTACTGACCCCTGAACTGTACATTATGTACTACTAATCCCTGAACTCTGTGTTACTTACTACTGAGGCAGTTTAGAATCATTTAACAGCTCTACTCTTGTCTCCAATCCTGCTGCTTGAACCTTGGTGCCTGGTAAAGCTTCTGCCGGAGCCTTCACTTGACCACTTGATCCCCCTTAGGAGTGCTGTTTTTTTAACCTATTACTAACTACTGAGCTCTGAACTCTGTGTCGCTTACTATTGACCCCTAAACCCTGTGTTATTACTGAACCTTGCGTTACTTACTACTGAGGTTCTGCATTACTTGCTACTATCCCCTACTGATGACCCCTGTACTCCATGTGTTACCTACTGATGACCCCTGTACTCCATGTGTTACCTACTGATGACCCCTGTACTCCATGTGTTACCTACTGATGACCCCTGTACTCCATGTGTTACCTACTGATGTCTCCTGAACTCCATGAACTATCAACTCATGACCCCTATACTCTTATGTTTTACCTACCGATCACCTCTGTATTCCCTGAATTACCTACTCATGACCCTGTACTACATGTCGTTCTTGTTCCTGACCTCTTTATTCCACGTGTTACCTACTCATGGCCCCTGCACTCTATGTTACATACTCCTGATTCCTGCTCTCTGCTCCATGAACTTTTGACCCCTGTGATCTGCGTTACACACTCCTAAGCCCTGCACCCTGTGCGTTACGCACTCTTGACCCCTGAAGTCCATGCATTACACACTTCTGATCCCTGCACTCCGTGCGGTACACATGCTTGACCCGTAGTAGAGTAGGCTCAGGGTTTATTTAACCAGTGAATCTTCAATCAACGAATGTTCCAGAAAACGTTCTTTTTGTAACAAAATTCTACCGGCGTGGAGCCACCTTAAAGGAGAACTATGGGGTCAGTGTTTTTCCCCATAGTTCTCCTTAGGGTAACGGGAGGACACAAACTAGCGTCCTCCCATCACCCTAAGCTCAGTATATAGGGAGCTACAGCTCGCGGTATACTGAGACGCCGCAGCCGGAGCGGATCCCGATGTAGATGACGGGATCCGCCCAGCTGCGTGAGTGACAGCTGGCTCTGCCTATCTAGAGGCAGAGCCAGCTGTACCCGCCCCCTTCCCCATCCGTTCCGCCAGTCAGCGCTGGCAGATCGGAGCGGGGAGGGGGGAATCCAGCCCCTCCCCCTGTCACGGCAGAGAGCCGTGACAGGATCGAGAGGTGAGCGAACTTGGTATGTGTTCGCTCACCTCCCGATCTACTGAGCAGACCTGTGACAGTCTCATTGTCACAGGTCGGCTAGAACTATGAGGTGAGTGGAAATCACTCATCTCATAGTTCTCCTTTAAGCCTATTACCTGCTGGAACATCAGGATACACAACAATTGCTATTATACATTTGTATCCGTTTAACTGGATTGTTCCGTTTCAAAGCCCCGTAAAGCCTCAAGCCCCCCCAACCTTCCCTCGGAGTATTACGGCTCCCATTGACTTGGTAGAAAATAAAAAAGCAAAGCACAAAGTGATCTCAAACTGACCCGAAATGATCTCAGAAAGCCCACGTAGGCCGTAAGTCAGTAATCACTCTCAAAATCTTTTCAATAGAGTTCCAACAAGCTGAGCTCTGCATTAAAATTGCAACAGACACAATAACGGAGCAATTTCCTCTTTTTTTTAATCTTACCTGACCAGCTCGATGAATCTCTCCCTCGGAGCCCCGCTCACGTCCTCATTATCGATGGCTAAAATCTGATCTCCGGAAAGCAATTTGTTCTCTGAGGGTCCACCTGAAATGAGAGAAAGTCCATATTTCCGGGACATTAGTATTCCGCACAGGGATGACTTAACGAGAAGGTGAAGCAAACACAGGCGGGTATACCCAATAAAAATATCTAGAATAGGGTCAGGGAGCCCCAGAGCGAAATTTTAATGGAGCCCCCCTCCGGCGACCTGCCATCTGCCATTGATCTCTACATAAAGTATGTCGAAATCAAGGACAGGAGAGCGGTCTGCATAGTCAATACATGACTAGGGACCAGAGCTATGGAACAGGAAATTAGATTTTAGCAATCAGCGCTGCGAGATCGGAGGGGGGAGGGGGGAATGCAGCCCCTCCCCCTGTCACGGCAGAGAGCCGTGACAGGATCGAGAGGTGAGCGAACTTGGTATGTGTTCGCTCACCTCCCGATCTACTGAGCAGACCTGTGACAGTCTCATTGTCACAGGTCGGCTAGAACTATGAGGTGAGTGGAAATCACTCATCTCATAGTTCTCCTTTAAGCCTATTACCTGCTGGAACATCAGGATACACAACAATTGCTATTATACATTTGTATCCGTTTAACTGGATTGTTCCGTTTCAAAGCCCCGTAAAGCCTCAAGCCCCCCCAACCTTCCCTCGGAGTATTACGGCTCCCATTGACTTGGTAGAAAATAAAAAAGCAAAGCACAAAGTGATCTCAAACTGACCCGAAATGATCTCAGAAAGCCCACGTAGGCCGTAAGTCAGTAATCACTCTCAAAATCTTTTCAATAGAGTTCCAACAAGCTGAGCTCTGCATTAAAATTGCAACAGACACAATAACGGAGCAATTTCCTCTTTTTTTTAATCTTACCTGACCAGCTCGATGAATCTCTCCCTCGGAGCCCCGCTCACGTCCTCATTATCGATGGCTAAAATCTGATCTCCGGAAAGCAATTTGTTCTCTGAGGGTCCACCTGAAATGAGAGAAAGTCCATATTTCCGGGACATTAGTATTCCGCACAGGGATGACTTAACGAGAAGGTGAAGCAAACACAGGCGGGTATACCCAATAAAAATATCTAGAATAGGGTCAGGGAGCCCCAGAGCGAAATTTTAATGGAGCCCCCCTCCGGCGACCTGCCATCTGCCATTGATCTCTACATAAAGTATGTCGAAATCAAGGACAGGAGAGCGGTCTGCATAGTCAATACATGACTAGGGACCAGAGCTATGGAACAGGAAATTAGATTTTAGCAATTTTCCCGTCCTCAGTAGATCACCAGTTTGTTTTGACATTTCAAGACCTCAATGTAAGTCCTCCCTCCTCTTCCACTGCCATAGCATGCAAGGGCTGAAAGAGGTGGAGTAGTAAACAGTTTATTTATATTTATTTAATGTTAACTTTTTTTTTAGATATCTATATATAGATATCTATATATATCTATACATATATTAATAATAATCACAATATTTCAATATTTTATATCATGACATCATTTTTAGTACTCCCGCACACAATTATAACACTAACAAAAACTACCCTTACAGCCTAAGGAAGACTGCATTAGGCACACGGGATGAATTTCAGTGCTGGCCGGGATGATTACAAGTTCAATGAGCACAATGAATCTACACTGCTAAGAAAGCTAAACAAATGCTGCATAGCCCGCAAAAGAGGATCTGTAACCAGCGACAATGATTTGGATGTCTCCTCTTGTGCATCTAACATAAGCTATTCTTGAATGGAAGCATTATAGAGGGTACAGGGTCGGTCTCAACTGTAACCTCTTCAATCCTTAATAATACAGTGATGGATTTGTGTTAGCCTTACGTGCTTCACGTGCATACAGATTTTCTATGTTTAAATTGCCTCAGCAGCCCTACTAATGGGGCCCACTCCTGCCCCTAGTTCCCTAAGGCATGCATGACATAAGAACACTCATGTCCAATAATATAAGAAACATATTAAGGATTGGAACAAAAGGGAAGGAAGACAATTATACAGGGGAATGACAAAGCTAAAGGGTCATCGCTATAATGAGGCAGCCTGAGGTTGTTGCCTCAGGCGGCATCTCTTTGGGTCACGGGTGGCGGCAGTGGGCCTGATGCCCCCTTTCTGGCTAGAGTGCCTTGGCTGGTGTCCTGGCCAACGCCTGGCAACAACCATTGACATAAGTGAGCTGGACAGGACACTGGCTGGAGTCAAAGGTAAGGACGTGCACCACCTACACTCCTCCCTGGTAAAGTGCCCCACCAGCACCCCCACCCCTGTAACGTACACTAGCAGCACCACCACCCATAACGTGCCCCACCAGCACCCCACCCCTGTAACATGCACTACCAGCACCACCACCCATAATGTGCCCCACCAGCACCCCACCCCTGTAACATGCAATACTAGTACCAGCACTACCCCCGAATCGATACCGTGCACCACACTCCCCCCTCCGGACTCAAGAGGTGAAAAGTCTAGGGACACCCCTGGGAATGAACTTATATATAACATTCTATGACATCATCATATTTAATCATTTGGCTCCCTTTATCATATGAGCCCAACACATCTCACAGTTTTGTATTCTTCCAGCGTTCCCCCAGCGAGGCGCTGTGATCACAGGTCTGACCCGGGAGCAGATATAGATACACTATAGGGCCAAAAGTATTGGGACACCTTTACACGCACATGAACTTTAATGGCATCCCAGTCTTAGTCCGTAGGGTTCAGTATTGGGTTGGCTCCGCCCTTTACCGCTATAACAGCTCCGCCTCTTCTGGGAAGGCGTCCACAAGGTTTAGGAGTGTGTCTATGAGAATGTTGGACCATTTGTGAGGTCAGGTACTGATGTTGGGGGAGGGGCTCGCAGTCTCCGCTCTAATTCATCCCAAAGGTGTTCTATGGGGTTGAGGTCAGGACCCTGTACAGGCCAATCAAGTTCCTCCACCCCAAACTCCCCCATCCATGTCTCTATGGACCTTGCTTTGTGCACTGGTGCGCAGTCATGTTGGAACATGAAGGGGCCATCCCCAAACTCCTCCCACAAAGTTGGGAGCATGAAATTGTCCAAAATGTCTTGGTGTGCTGATGCCTTAAGAGTTCCCTTCACTGGAACTAAGGGGCCAAGCCCAACCCCTGAAAAACAACCCCACACCATAATCCCCCCTCCACCAAACTTTACACTTGGCACAATGCAGTCAGGCAAGTACCGTTCTCCTGGCAACTACCAAACACAGACACGTCCATCGGATTGCCAGACAGAGAAGCGTGATTGGTCACTCCAGAGAACACGTCTCCCCTTCTCTAGAGTCCAGTGGCGGCGTGCGTTACACCACGGCATCCCACGCTTTGCATTGCACTTGGTGATGTAAGGCTTGGATGCAGCTGCTCGGCCATGGAAACCCATTCCATGAAGCTCTCTACGCACTGTTGTTGTGCCAATCTGAAGGCCACATGAAGTTTGGAGGTCTGTAGCTATTGACTCTGCAGACAGTTGGCGACTTCTGCGCACTGTGCGCTTCAGCATGCGCTGACCCCGCTCTGTCATTTTACGTGGCCTACCACTTCCTGGCTGAGTTGCTGTTGTTCCCAGTTGCTTCCACTTTGTTATAATACCAGTAACAGGTGACCGCGGAATATTTAGTAGCCAGGAAATGTCACAGAACACCTGAATCCAATGATTTGGAGGGGGAGGGGCCCAATACGTTTGGCAATATAGTGTATATAACACACATCAGCTCTGATTGAGGTCTTAATGGAAAGGAGGGGGGTATATTTCCCTCAGATCCACCAGCCCTACATATTTATTTGCACTGGCCCAAAGTGCATATGCACCCCCCCGACTTCCAAACCCCCATTCCAGGATGCAGTACTGATCTCAGATCTTGCTTCTCATTTATACATATACAAAATTGCAGCACATTAGACACCCAAAAACAGGTAAGAATATATGTGGTGATGGTTTTTCTAAGACAGACACACAAATAGAACAAACCAAAGCAAAAAACAACAAAAAGACACATAAACTGCTCTCTTATACAGATGCAGGAAAAAGCAAAAGATTTTATTTGGATAAGGGGGGTGGGCATAGGGGATTTTTTTAGATTCTGTTTGCAAACATGTAAAATCTAATATAGATAGAAAATACTTTGCATGTCCTCATATGCCTCTTCCTGCTTAGAAGTGTGTGTGTTGGAGTGATCAACCCTGGTCACATGTTCACCCGACCCGTCTATAGCGAGATGACAACATCAATTAACTTTATCAGTGTTGTCCATAGGTTATGCACAACTGGGAGGTAACCCACAGGATCCAGAAACTTCAGATGGCCCCGTATCAGAAAACTTCTGAGATGTATATGATTGTATCTCTGATCTTTTAATAGATTAGCCAAAGGGTAGGGGTGATGTTGCATCCTGTTCAGCTTTATGGGTCTGGGAGTTCCTTAAAGTACATGTTCACCAAAACCCCCAAAAATGCCCCTTATCCTATCTGACTCAATGCCACTAGCTGCGTCTGCCCCACCACCGCCACCCTGGACACCCATACTTACCTTGTCCAACAGTTGCGGCCTACTGTATTGCCTGCGGGCTGGCATGAAGGAGGAACTTGGCAAGCTGACTGCAAAAATTGAATGCAAGGCTGGCTGAAGCTAAACACTAACGTCCCATAGACTTTGAAGGCCGTACCCATAAAGCAGGAGCAATGTCCCATCCAAGACTATGGCTGGATGGGAGTCTGACTTTGGGGAGGCAACTGTTGAAAAGGAGGAGGCAACTTTGGGGAGGCAACTCCAGGGCAGGGAGGGGGAACTCAAGGAAGATAGGGAGTGGGGCGCATTATTTTGTTTAGGTGAACATATACTTCAAGGAATATCCAGACCCAAGATGCTGAATCGGATGTTACATCAGCCCCATCCATTGGATGAGGTAAGTGCGGACCTCTGGGGAGGGGGGTTACAGACACAGCTAGTGGTATTAAAGGAGATAGGGAGTGGGTCTGGGGGGCATTTTTTGGTTTAGGTGAACATATACTTTAAGGAATATCTAGACCCATGATGCTGAATAGGGCATAACATCAGCCCCATCCATTGGATGAGGTAAATATGGACCTCTGGTGGGGGGTACAGACGCAGCTAGTGGTATTAAAGGAGATAGGGACTGGGTCTGGGGGTATTGTTTTGTTTTAGTGAATACATAAAAAAATGCTAGGCATTATAGTTTTTGGTAGAACAGGCTTTACCTGTCTTCCAAATATCCCTTTGCACCTGCCCCTAGCAATTTTATTTCTAGTGGCCCATTCCTGGAATCAGGAAGATGCCAAGACTGGAGCCACATGTGAGGACAATGTAACTCCAGCGCGCATCATCAGTGGCCGTTCAATGGCCAAAGAGGAGGAAGACGCCAAGCCTGAAGGAAGTGGGGCAGAAGATGGTGGGAAGAGTGATGAGGAACAGTAAGGAACAGCTCTGAGTTGTCGGCCCTAGAAGATGGGCAAACACAGAGGTGGGTCAGCTATATGCATTATAGTATGAGCTGCCCAACCTTGTCCACACTATAGTTACCCTTTAAAGTCCTTCACTATGGGGGTCATTGTTGATGACAAGGAGACACTCTATGCACCTGGAGGAAAGGAGGTTCGAGAGCTGTGAAAATCTGAAAATAGTTCTAACTCATCAAAATGCTTCAAACAAAAGCTGGATGTGTTCTAAATGCTCAAATATAACTAAATAATAATAGTTATAAGCAATAAACCTGTAGAATATTGATCCAGGATCAATATCCGATTGTGGATCAGGGTGGGCTTGGATCACACAAATTGGACCACCGCTTGAAGGGTATTTGCCTTCCTCTGGATCACCTGGCGGTTGCCTTTTTGGTTGGACCCAATGGACATCTTTTCTTTTTTTTTTACCCCAACCATGTAACTTGTCCCCATTGGTCTTGTCTAGAACTCATGTGTTTGCTACAGAAAATAAGCAATTCATCGGTTGGCTTCCTCTAACATGCAATGCATTGACTTTTTTTCTATCACATCTCAAACAGTTCTGTTATGGACGGCCATATTGTACACAACATTGCTCTGAAACTTGCTTTGAGAGGACACCGAAGCAAGTTTTCAGACACTGTCTCAGTAAATGATTCTTTTTCGATGGAATAGATGGAGACGATGGAACATGAATTGAATCTTTTAGTTTCACCTGCAATGACAGATCGTACAACAACGGGTCGTGCACTGCCAGCAACAAATCCAAAGCCAACTCCTGGTTGACGAGAAATGGTGACTTGACGTATAGATTGAGGGGTCAGCTGACCACATTCCATAGCACACGTCCACATCACATGACTGCACAAAGAGAGGAGACAGGAGTAATTAGATGGTGGGGAAAAAAAAGAACTGAATGTTGACTAATGTTCAAGAGGATCTTACACCAGAAAATCTGAGGTTCTGCTTTTCAGTCCCCCCCCCCCTCCCCCTCCCCACCCAATGTAAACAAAATAAGCAATAGGGGAAAATAGATGTACACTTGGGGCCCCATAGCAACATCTTGATTATTAATACAGTTGTCTTTTTGATCAGTTTATAGTTGAGGACACACTGGGATCTATTTTTACAGCCTCTGGTTAATTTTGGAGTGATGGCCAGGATGACCACAAGCTCTGAAGGCAATCAATTTAGGGGAGGGGAAGCAATGGAGAGCAGTGACTGGCAACCCTACAATCCTAAAGATTCCTCCTCTGTGCCTTCTAGACTGAAAACTTCACAGGAGACCGGGGGTTGTCAACAACTTTGGAACCCTCAATTCTACAGCCAGTGTTATCTTTACAGGCATGCAAATTGTATCCGTTAAATTTGCCTCAACAACCTCCCAAATGGGGGCCCCCTTTCCTAAACTCAGGCCGCATAGCACCTAGTTACGTCACTGCTTAGACCTTGACTTTCAGAATGCATACTTAGGCCTTGCCGCAGCCTCCTGGCAAAGCCGAGAATCCCAAATCTCATAAGAATGCAATTTGCATTGTGTGGGAGGACAATTACTGAAGATTTTGGAACCTCAGTTTTGCCAGGATCCCTTGGGGGACATCACTGGTCCTTAGGCAAGAATGCCGGAGGCCAAGGTCTAAGGTAAGTATCTTTTTATTTTTTTTCCCTATTATTTTAATTTTCTAGCATTCCCACTTATGGAATGAGGGTATTAAGAAGAGGTGCCTCGGTTTTTTTTGGTGCTAGGTCAACTTTAAATTTGAACAAAAGATTCAAAAGACGACATAGATTATGCTAACAAATGTTTCGTGCAAAGTGAACCACAATGTACTCGTATGGTTTAACTTCAGACCTATACATGTCAAAAAAAAAATAGGACCAGGAAAATGCTACAGTATTATACAGCATCCGGTGTGGTAAAGGAATTAATATTACCGGGACCAGATGACTCAGTACCTATTATAATATGTATCATCCCTAAAGAGTATGTAAAGCCCAATGTTTCTTTCATAGAGTAGAGAAGGGTTACAAGTTCTATCCATTTAATTTTTGATAACTTTCCCTTCGCTTCCTGTCCCACAGATGCAGTTCCTGGTCTGCTTTTCCGTTGCTGAAAAAGCCTATCCTTGGACTTGTCCCTGCTCTGTCCCCTTGTTATTGACCTAGTTCCTGACCACAGCTCATCTCTGCCGATCTTCTGGTGTGATCTCAGCTAATTCCTGACTCTGGCTCCTCTCTGTTGACCTTCTGGTGTGACCTCCACTAGTTCCTGACTATAGCTTATTTCTGCTGACCTTCTGGTGTGACCTCAGCTAATTCCTGACTTTGGCTCATCTCTGCTGAACTTCTGGTGTGACCTCCGCTAGTCCCTGACTATGACTTATTTCTGCTGACCTTCTGGTGTGACTTACAAGGCTTGTACAGCCTGCTGATTTGGACACCACCCATCCCTTGCCGCCGCCCAATCAGCATCTATCACCCGGCCCAATCACGTCCCAGCTGCCCCTTCTTAAGTTATAGCAGGGAGGAGACTGGCATCACGTCCTGACGAAGGGGGCGTGCCCCGGAAACGCGTCGACACTTAAGTGCTTTATACAGGGCACGTTATCCTGGTTCTCTTACTGCTCCAGTTTTACTGTTCTACAGCTCGTTTTAGACTTCAGTATTGTGAGTAATGGTCAGTTCACCTCTATGCCTGTTCTTTTTGAATAAACGATACTTCACTCGGAAAGGCGCCCCTTCTTTTGTGTTTTTTACGCTAGTTCCTGACTATAGCTTATTTCTGCTGAAATTCTGGTGTGACCTCGGCTAGTTCCTGACTTTGGCTCATCTCTGCTGAACTTTTGGTGTGACTTCCGCTTGTTCCTGACTATGACTTATCTCTGCTGATCTTCTGCTGTCACCTCAGCTAGTTTCTGACTATAGCTCATCTCTGCTGATCTTCTGGTGTGACCTCGGCAAGTTCCTGACTATGGCTCATCTCTGCTGATCTTCTGGTGTGACCTCGGCAAGTTCCTGACTACGGCTCATCTCTGCTGAACTTCCGGTTGTGACCTCGGCTAGTTCCTGAATATAGCTCATCTCTGCTGAACTTCTGGTGTGACCTCGGCAAGTTCCTGACTATGGCTCATCTCCACTGACCTTCTGCTGTCACCTCGGCTAGTTCATGATTAGGGTTCATCTCTGCTGAACTTCTGCAATCACCTTGGCTGGTTCCTGAGCTTGGCTCATCTCTGCTGATTTTATGGTGTGACTTTGGCTGGTTTCTGACTATAGTTCATTGCTGTTGACCTTCTGGTGTGACCTTGGCTAGTTCCTGATTACATCTCTGCTCACTTTCTTGTGTGGCTTTGGCTGGTTTCTGACTATGGTTCATCTCTGCTGACCTTCTGGTGTGACCTCGGCCTGAATTCAGACCACGCTTCCAGCCTGCTGAGTGTGCCCGTGTTTTGGCCAACTGCCTTCTGGCCTGCCTCTTCCCAGGGGCTTTCCTGTTGGTCTGCATGAGCATCTCACAGCCAAGCGATCTTTCATGGTACTAGACTCCTGGCACCCATGCCACTCTGTGCCCTCTTACTCCCTATGCTCAACCCCGGGGGAGTCCGGACCAGAGGTGTAAGGGAAGCCCTCTAGTCGTCTTGGCCTCCAACCAGGTACTTGATAACATTACATTTCTGTTCTTGGATTTAGATATCCTTTAAGCTAAAAAGCCACACTATGAATTTTTGAACCGTGATCCATCAAAATCTCCTGTGTAGCCCACCCTGCAGCCTGTGATCTCCGTTCTAGGGTCCAGTCCCACTTGCTTCCAAGCAAGGCAGAGAGAGCCCTGACCCCAGTTCTCATCATTTCATCTATGCTCCTGTCCCCATACAGCAGAACTGTCAATCATTTCACTCCTTCTCAAACACCATACACCTCCTCTACAGATAGGGCACAACCCATAGCTGTTTAGGGGTTGAGGATCATGTTCTCCCTTCCATCCAGATCCATGAGAAAGGAGGAGGAAACATCAGAGATTAGTCAACAAGGGAAGAAAGAGTCCAAGAGTAGGCATGTGAAGGTTCTCATTTATTCAGGTCATGGTATAGCTAGTGGTAGTGAGTCGCATTCAACTGAAAATCCCTTCATCCTTCATTCAAGAGGCTTCCTCAGCACTTGAACTTGGCCAACAACTATGACAAGCTGGTCCCACACAATTTAATTCAGTTGGAAGATAAACCTGAAGCACCATCTATACATTGTTCGGCTTCATGCTCATGGGCACATTGGGACATGCAATGTAAAAATGTGGGCTTGGGAAGCCCAACTGGTGTGTACATCCACCCATAGGCATGAACGGCAGTGTGCACCTTTAGGCTGGTATATGCCAGTGCTCGCCCATCTATATCATATGCAGGGCCGGCCTTAGGGGTGTGCGAGCAGTGCGGCCGCACAGGGCGCCATGGCAACAAGGGCGCCGTGTGGCCGACACAGCTCGTCCTGGGGGCGTCTTCTCTCCCCCTCACCGCTGGGCGCTGGCCATCTGATATGACAGCGCTCCCTC